CTTGCAAATATATTTTTTACAATATTTCATAACAATTCCCGTGTTTAACCTGTCCACTTGTGCAAATTCTATCCATTTGGAGAACGAATCCACTATCAAAATAAACATTTTCCCTTCCCATTTAAAGAAATCCAAATGAATCCTCTCCCAAGGTCCTTTTATCGGCCAAATACTATTTTTATCTTTCCGGGGCATATTGGCACAGGCATTACAAATTTCACAATTTTTTCCTAATTTATCAATTTCTTCATTTTATTTGTGATATATATTTTTTTTTATTTATTAATGTAAACCCAATTAATTATTTATAAAAAAATTATGAATAATTTAAAAAGCGCCATCATCAGGGGGGATTTTTATTGTTCTTTATGATTTTAATAGAATTTATTTTTTAAAAAAATAATTATTCTAAACATTTATTATACCACAGTATCATTATTATAAAATGCATGACTCTTAACCTAAGAATTCTTTAAAGGAGGGAAATGTGGACTAACTAGACCAATAAGAATTAAGTCAAAACCTAATTATTTAAAAGAACTATATAACGTAAAATATAAAAATAAATTAAACAGAAAATCCCAAAAATAAGAAACGCTAAAAATATTATATAACAATCTTATTGATTTATAATTTTTTCACATATTCTAATATCGAAATTTGATCAATTATTATTCCGATATCTAATTTTTGAATTTTTCCAAATTCCATACACCATCATTCCGAATATTCCTATACTCCAACATCCTACTTGATAATAGTAATATTACAACTGACGATAATAACAATCTCGAAAATTGATAATGATAACGACGGAGCACGACGACAAGCCAGCGTACTCAAATCGATATAAACAAACCAAAGCACAACAAAAAAAACGGTGTCAACAAACCAACGTGATTGAATCAAGCCAACGATAACGCATGACGGGTGCTACTATCAAAACAGCCAAAATTGCAGACCATTTGAACAACAAGCTCTCACATCTCAGGAAAGGGAGAATGTTAAATAATGGAAATTGATTTTTTTTTAAATTTAAATTTGTATTGATAGTTTATATAACTTTAATTGGTATTATTTGAATATAAACCTTGTTTAATATATTGATGAAAAATTAGGATTATTTTAGCTTGTAACCTTGCTTTTGTTTAAAATGTTTTTGTAATATATTTTGATACTTTTTTTATCTTTTGTTTAATCAAATTTGTATTTAATATGAAAGATATATATATATATATATATCCTTATTTTTTGATAATAGATTAGTAGTTTTATTTAAGTTTATGTAGAGAATACGAAAACGAAAAAATATATTTTATTTATTATTATTATTATTATTAAATAATGTTCATCCACATAATATATTATCTAAAAATATAAATTAGAATACATATAATCAAAACGTAAAACAAAAATAATAATAGGTAAAGTTATAAAAATTAAATTATATAAAATTGAATTGTAAAAAGTTGAATTGTTAAAGGTTAAATCGTAAAAGGTTGAATTGTAAGTCAAACAGCACAAAAATGAAATAACAGTACAAATTTGAATATATAACAGTTTAATTTGCAAACATAATAAATTTATTATTGACACCATATTAACAATATAATAAATTATTTCATTTTAATATTACATTCACGTAGTAATTATATAATTTTATAAAAATAAATTTGAATAATAAGTAAAATAAAATCTAAAAGCAAATAAATAAACAAAAGATGGCGGAAAAAGAAATTTTTAAAACAATTTCGTTATTTGGAATACCTGAAACTATAGTTACTGATAATGGTACTAACATCACAGGTAATGATTTTGAGAAATGATGCAATGATCACGATATTAAACATGTACTTACTGCATACCACCAAAAATCTAATGGTCAGATAGAACGTATGGTGAGAACGTTCAAAGCACATATAAAATGAAATATAAAGAATGAATTAGATACTGCACTTGACAAATTTTTATTCAATTATAGAAACATGTGAAATGATACTAGAGAAGTTACATTACACCTTCCAAGAGAATGTTCAATAGCGACATTAGGGTTAAATGGGGGACTTATTATAACCGTTGGAACGAAAAGGGGATAGAGTTAACGTAACACTATCACCCAATAGACCCTTTAATGTAGGAGATTTTGTTTGGTACAAAATACAAGGTGATGACAAGTGGTGGCACGGTCGCACACAAAGAAAGTGACATGATGTTCTAAGTTAGGACAGGTAAAGATATATTAAGGAGACATTTAGATCAATCAAGAATAAGATATTGTTTCACATTTATAAATTATGATTTCTAACTCTAAAAATTCTTTTAAGAAGGGAGTGTGAACAAAAATAAAAAAAGCCATTAATAAATATGATTTAATGAATGCGTGATATAAAATTTTAACTTACTACTATTTAATAACCAAATATATAATTAATCAATATTTTAATTTATTAATTATTCCTATTATATCACAGTAAAATATTTCATTTATATAATATGTTTGTCTTAAAAAGTTAAATTTTTGTTTTAACTGTTAAAATATCTAATTATTTTATAATAGAATATTTAATTAAAACTGATCTCATCCCACAATTAGAATTTTTTAAGGCATAATGTTTTTATTATTAACTATTTATTATGTAAAAATATGTCATTATTTCAGATACAAAACAATTACCAGATAGAATTACATATAGCCGGAGTGGATTAGATGATGTGTATTTATCAATGAAAGCGTACATATGTCATCATATTAATATATGTCTAAAATTTTGTGTTATGACTTTTGATATATGGACCAATAAATATAGACGGCGAAATTATATGACATTTATATTTCACGAAATAGATAATTATTTTATTATTGTATTTAATACATTGGCGACACATCATATCACTCAAAAACATACCACTGAAACTTTTCTTTCCGAGGTAGAAAGAGTTGAAAATGAATTTGATTTAGGGTCCAAGAATATTCAAATAGTTACGGATGCAGGACCCAATGTAAAGAAAAGTGTTCGTCTAGGAGAATATGACCATCATTTATGTTTGGGGCATGGATTATATAATCTAGTGACATTTAGTCGATGGAATAAAAGAAGTTAATTAAAATAGAAAATCTCATGTAAAAAAGTAAGAGAAATAGTTGCCCTAAGATTCAAAACAGCTGATTTTGAAAATATAAACGATATTCATAATTATCAATAAAATAATAAAAGAAGTATTGGGAGCTGCTGATCTAGTAGATATAGGATCTAATGAGAAGATTTTTTTTGTTAATAGGATAATATCCTATGCAGATGATTTTGTAGTGATCTCGAAAAGTATTGAAGAGACCAAAAATCTACTTTACCTAATTGAGACAGTAAGCTATAGAGTGGGACTTAGGTTAAACTTTAACAAAACTGTCATTCTTCCCTCCCCAGACGCGCCTTCAATTCAAAATTTTACTGTTGGAGTGAATACAGTAAAAATTGTAGAGAAAGTGAAATACTTAGGGGTAATCTTAGATAACAAAGGAAGTTGTAAAGATGAGATGAAGATGAGAATACAGAAAGCAAGAGGTGCGTTCTATAGATATATGAAAATATGGAAAGCGAGTGAAATTTCTGTATTTACTAGATTGAGGATATTCAACTCGTTGATTGTTCCAATTGCATTATATGGTGGAGATATCTGGGAGGCAAATAAAACTGAGATAAGGCGTCTTCAATCTTTTATAAATAATTGTCTTCGTACTATACACGGGATTTTCTATCCAAGAGTTATTTCTAACTCAAATCTTTGGAGAAAGTCAACTCACACACCAATAAATATTACTCTTAAAAAACGACGGATTCAGTTCTTAGGTCACATAATAAGAAACTCTGATAATAATTTAGTTCATGATGCCATAACATGGCTGTACTCATATAATGGAAAACAATACACGAAATACAAAACATTATGGTATTATAAAACAATAAAAGATATAATGGACCTAAATGTGAATATGAAACAATTTATTAAACTGAACAATAATAAAAGATCCATTAAGAAGCTGTTTCGTATCAAGAAAAGTTACCTCTAATATGTATAAAAATACATTTCAATATTCAAGATTCACTATCATTACCCAATAATTCCTATCTTAATTCCTATCGTAATAAATTTCAAAAATTAAACTTATTATTATCAAATATTTCCAATACCAACATACACTCAAATCCTCTTGTAAGTATGCTTTTGTATTTTCTTACTAATAGTTAATATAATATAGTAAAGATTTTTAATGTAAAATTATCCTCAACTATAAATGAAATTGTTGTATCTGTTGATATATAATTGACACTTATGGACGTTTTTCAATTGATTTTGAATAGGAGATATATAACATATGATTAATGGTTTTATCTTTCATTGACTCTCTTAACAATTGGTCGTACAACGTCAAAAAGGAAAATATAGATTGACTTATTTTATACACGAATAGTATGGGTGGAAATTAAATAATTATAATATTAGTATGTAACGCATCTGCCTGAGTATCACCCGGTGCCTGAGAGTAGATCAGTTACACTCCACTAGGAAAATTGGTATTTTAAATGAATATTCGTCCTCTTAAAATTTTTATATATGATCTATATATAATTAATGTTAAACGCGATTAAGCAGCACGTAGTTTGTCAAAAGTACAAAAAAATTTATGTGTTTATTTGAATGGATTCTGCTTATTAAACAGATTATTACAGGATCGAGAACTCTAAATAGAACAGGAACCAAAAAATCTTTTTAAGACAATATTTCCAAAACCGGAAACGTCATTTGAAAAGAATATTCAGAACCGGAAACATTACTTTTTTTAAAATCCAGATTGTTCAAAATTCTGATATATAAATTTGGATTATTTTTGGTAAGTTTTTTTCTTAAAAAAAATGGAGAATCCTTTAAATCCATATGATCTTGATCAAAGCTGAGATAATACTTCATTTTATTAATATTATTGACAGTTTTGATTCATGTTATTATTCATAATAATTATATAATAAATAAATATTTGGATTTCATAATAATCATTTTTGATTTTTTTTATAGGTTACTTAATTAATAATAAATTTATCTACAAAAAAAATATAATATATTTAATATAAAAAAAAATGTATTTTAAAGGAATGGATGGGAAAATAAATGAATGGAATTAAATAATACAAATATCCCAAGAATCGGTGGGAGGAAAAAATGATCAACGAAAACGGGAGGAGAGGGGGGGGGGTGTTGAGAGGCAAATATTTTGAAAAATTGTATTTGAACTTCAAGTACACTTTTTCAATTTTTTATTTAAAAAAAAATACTAATTTAAAATAAATTTTTGGAGATTACTTTTTTAAAGCAAGGAAGGGGGGGGTGTGTAAGAAACTCGTGCATGAAATGGATTTTGATCTCTAAACTAAAATTTGAAAGGAAAATGAAGTTAGAACACTATAATATTTAAATGATAATAGGAATCGCAATTCCTTACTACGTTGTAAAAAAGAAAACAATAATTCGATTAAAGGGTTCGCATGAAATGCCATGTATATATAGATGGAATAATATAATAATAAACGATGTAACGTAATATTTGATTTTCATATTTGTAATCCAGCAGCCAGGCGACATTTTTGCATCAGAACTTTAAGTTTGAATTGCTTCCTCGATAATTCTCGAATATTCTTTTTTGTTTGTTTATTAATTATTAGTGAATTATTAAAAAAATATATATTTATGTTTGGTTAGAGGGGGTGGGGGGGGGGAACATCTTTTAAGATTTGAATGTTAAGCTCTTTTCGTCATAAGGGCATATATAACTGGTATAATATGAAGAGAGCAAATTCAAATCTTTGCAAACATAATTATAAATGTAGCAAGAAAAGTTCAAAGATAAACCCACATGTTTTTAAGCGACGAATTATGATTTGTCCTGTCAGCATTCAGAACGAGAGATGTTATTTACAAAAATGCCAAACAAATCATGTCTGTATATAGTTATAAACTAAAAGGATAGCAATTAAAAATAAACAAAGTTTTAAATACTTAAAGAATATATTTTCCAGAAGATATCCTTTTTTTCAAAAAAGGCATTTTAGTATATCTAGGAACCCTGAACGGATTTTCTGCATAAATTCTAAGCCTTGCTAAAATCTATTCTAGATTGATTCATTTGAATAAATCTGGGAAAATCACCAATTTCTACTAGATCATTTTTTTTAGAAAGGAAACTATGATGGATGACAAACCTTTAAGAAATCGTCCAGAGTGAGAATTTTGTGCTTGAGAGATTCTCCAAGATAAAACGTGATATCGAGTATGGCATTTTCTTCCGCGTAGGCATTAAGTAATCTGTATTATTAAATTTAATATATACGCAGGGTTAATGTTGCATTTTTTTTCAGCAGACTTTGAACCACTGTACTAAAATTTAACCGACTTGCCCAAGATTTTTTTGTTAAATTTACGCGTCCATCCCTTTATGTTAAAAAAAATATAATTGGCCCGGGTAAATGTTTGAAAAAGTATTTGATTGGTTGATTCGGCTCCTTCATACCGTTGTTTTAAAAATTATTTTTAAAGTTCTCATCCGCCCATTGAAGATCTCTAGGCTGTATCACCCTGCATTAACAGTTAGAGCGATTTCGCGGCGGTCATTGACACATAAGAATACCTAGACTAACGATGCAACGCTTTCATTAAAAGTGAACATTCAATGGAAAACAGCTGGGGACGCCATTTTGAATACCCATATCATTATTAAAAATCTTAAACGAGAGGTCAATTTATTCCTATGTCTGGCGCAAACTTTATTAAAGAATTTACCTGATCGTCGAGATAATAAGGAAGCAAGTTTATCAATTTAATAGTAGTTTTTAACATGAGAATAATTACTATATGAGTTACCAAAATGGCGGGTCCAGCTGATTTGCATTCAACGACGCTTACATAAATTTTTGTATACTTGGCCGCGAATTAGCTCTAACTGTGAATTCAGGGTCACTGAGACTTGCATAAGTAACAATAAAAAGAATATACATATTAAAAAAATTCTGAGAGGGTTGTGGAATGAATGTTCCAAAACTATTCTTCATTTCATTCCAAATAAACTAGTCAATAATAAATAAGTTAGAGGGAAATGTAAGCCATTTTGTTATGAAAGTCATTATAATCCAAAAATACAAACTGTTTATAGATTGGGGTAGTGGCATTCACGGTTTCGTCTAAATACGCGAATTCTTCGTCGGACTTCTCCAATTTATTATCTGCATCTTTTAATTTCGTCAATTCAAAAAAAAAGAAGTTTTATTTCACCTGTTCGCATGATTCAAATACTTCGGGGTAAAAGCAGACAATTTTATCTATAAAATTAATCTGATCTTAACTTCAATATTATCGTCTGACATTAAGTTTCAATACCTTCTGCTTCAAATTTTAAAATCGTCTGCTTTTATCGTTAATATAGAATCGTGGAACTTAATTAATAATAAAAAAATAATTTAACTTTTCGTATCGTCTGCCATTTCATTTTTATCTTCTATTTTTGTTGGAAGAAATTTAATGGAATCACGCTTGCCCTCCTCTAAGGCTTCCTTGAGGGTTTTCAGCTTTAACTTCGCCTCGTTCTTTTATTTATTTAAAACGATGAATATTTTATTTTATCTAAAAATTGGAATCCATATCCGTTACTCAATCCCCGGCATCCGGAAAACCGAATCGAGTAATTAAAATATTTGTATTCGATTCGCAGACCTGAAATCGAATAATTTGGTATGTGCTCAAATAACTATTTATAATTTCATGATTGTTTCTTCTTTTTATAGAACCTGCCCATATTTAATAATCACGTGTCAATAAAAATAGAAGCAGACAATATGTAAATTGGTGCTATTATTCCTTCTTCTACCGATTGGTAAATCTTACAATTCACGGTACCCGTTCCAAATTGCTGACAATTGGGAATCTCGCTTATATTTCCTTTTAGGGAAATAAACACATCTATTTAAATCGAGTTTTTTTTTAAAAAAAACCACCAAAAATAAAGGAAATATCATTATTGTTCCCACCTTTTGCCCCCCCCCCTCAATTTATATTTGATTTAATTTTGGTTTTAGAAAATTTTAAACATAGAAGTCACTATCACAATAAAAAAAAACTATTATTATAAAGTCCCAGAAAAAAAAAATAAACCTAATTTTATTTTTTCTAATATCCGGAAAAAAAAATCGGCCATATTGGACTCAAAGTTAGGTGATATTATTATATTACTTTCTTTTTTCTTATTTTAATTTGTTTCCTCTTTCTTTTTATTCCTTACTTTTTTAAAATTATCATTTTATTCATCTCTTAATAGTAATATATATGGGATATATTGTGAGGGTACAGGGACACCTATGTAATTAACCCATAGCCCCCCCCCTCCCTCCAACTTTTCCCTTCAAAAAATGGTGGCTACCCACGTATAAGTATGTGGGGAATATTGTAATAGAAAAACAATATAAACATTTTCTTGATCCAAAACTGTCATGATATTGTGAATCACGATGGCACCGTCCTTCAGCCTCTGTTCCGTTTTGAGTAAATTATCCATTTCAGTCTGGAAAAGAGATAATTATATAATTAGATACGAAATAGTAAGATAAAATTTAATGAATAAGGTAATAAACGAAACCTAAATGCAGTTTGGTTTTATACCCCAGGAAAAGGAGCAAAAGATACAATTGTTGTAGTTAGACATAGGAGGAAAAGTATCTAAAGAAGGAAAAGAAACTATATTAAGCATTTGTTGACTTGTATGAGGGGTTTAACGGGGTGCCGCGAGAAGTTACTAGACGAATCTTGAGAAAATTAGGTGTAGAAGAATGGCTGGTTATGGTAATAATAGCAATGTATGCGGGAGCAGAGACCGCGATCCAGATAAATGATGGATAGTGATTAAATAACAAGGATCCGTTCTGAGCCCGTTATTATCTATCCTTAAATGTTGATGCCCTTGTATTGATGACAAATAGCGGAGGACAAATTTATCGGATGAAAGATGGCTAAGGATGATAAGAGCTTAAAAATGAATACAGAAAAGACAAATGTCCAATGATTAGTGGGGAGCTTTGCTGTTGTAATCAGCTTCTGGTCTTGCGGTGTATGTAGAAAAGGGGTTGCTATAAATTCAATAGCCCTGCTGCTTGAAATGATAGCTGTGTTAGTGGCGAGAAAGGGAGTCTGAAGATCGCTGGCTAGACATTTATCAGTAGAACGTGTTAGCGTAGAGAAGGGTGGATTGGATTGGCAATGGAAGTGTTGATTCTGCTGTTCTTAATAGGGTCAGATATGTGTAGAAGTAGCTCCGAGAGATGAGTATTCAAACAAAATAAAAATGTCTCTCCAAAGTTGTAGGAAAAGGTTTACACAAGTGTGGAGATAAAACCTTGTCGATGGAAGTGGCACATTAAAAATTGGAAAGGACGATGAGAATGATCTGATGGATATGTGGGTGAAGCGATTGAAGTGGTGATGAGAAAAAAAAATAACTAATGAAATATGAACAGCCATCGCGGTGAAGTAAGAGGATCAGGGCCTCCAGGTAGAACTCAAGAGGATGCGGATGTAGCTCGATTTTTTTTTAAAAAGAGCTGACCCAATCTTTTAGCCAAAGAATATGCAAGCCTGGAGAGTTTGTTCATAGATGGCAAAGGTATAAAACTTCTTCTAACAACACATAATGTGGATGAAAGCTAAAACAGATATGAAAGGGGTCATAGCGACGCCCAGGGCCGTAAATGAAGAAACAGGGGGGGGGGAAACTTGCTCGGGTAAACCAGAAAAGCCTTCCTTAAAACAAAAATGATTGACGTCTCCCATGTTAAAAAATATGGGGGAAAAATATATATATTATTTAAAAAAAAGAAGAAGGCATGTTTTAAAAACGCCTGAGGGTGCATCCAAACTCAAAAAAATAAGCATTCTTTTTGAGTTCAGATGTATCCTAAATGCTCAAAAACTTGGGCTCGCTCGAAGGTCTCTGTAAGCATGTTATTTATCCTGTCCTTCAGGGCGGATACGAGAGAAATCCTGATGGCTTCTTTATCGAGTGGCGGAGAACGTATGGAGGGATAGCTGCTACTGAGATCGTAATCGTGCCCGGTGTGTTGTTGGGTAGAAATTTTGGGCATGCCGGACTGTAACGGGTATGGCAAGTTGGACGGGTTCGACGTGTAAGGAAGGAGGTGGGATGGGTGGTCCGACGATTGCTGGGAAGGGATGGATGACGAAGCAGTCGTTTTAGTAAAAACTGGGCAGTGATCACCGAATACGGATTGCATAACTTGGATTGAACCTACGAGGTCGCAAGCTTGCTGGAAAATAAAACAGGGGAAATATGTTAAAACGCTTTCGATATTTGATAGCAGAGTTGTTAAAAGATACTTTTTAAATGGATCTAGATACAGTTTCAACGTCTAAAATAATATCTAGTTACAGATTATTTAATCAAAAATCTATTTAGATACAGATACCACATTTTTGTATCTAGATCCTTTAAAAACTCTGTTTGATAGCAATAGACTTAATTACTGATATAATGTTCCGAGCGGAATTATAAATTTATAAGCGTTAAAAGATCATCATAATAAAATTAGCTTAAAAAAAACTATCAGACGACCTGTATATTAATTCGGGTTGTACCCCAAAGATAATATTTTTAAATAACAGATTTAAAAAACCCGGACCGGTTAACCGATAAATATGTACATTTTTAGCTTTTCACGGGAGTGGTGTCTTCAAAAATGAGAAAATTGCCGACATTTTTAACTTTTCACAGGAGTGGTGTCTTCAAAAATGAGAAAATTGCCGACATTTTTAACTTTTCACAGGAGTGGTGTCTTCAAAAATGAGAAAATTGCCGACATTTTTAACTTTTCACAGGAGTGGTGTCTTCAAAAATGAGAAAATTGCCGAATAATTGCACTATTATTCGTCCAACATTCATAGTTATATAACGAATATATATATTTTTTTAAAAAATTAGGAAGAAGGAAATTAATTTTTATTTCAAATAATAAATATTTTTAAAGAATTACATTAAGAGGTTAGTTTTAATTTTAATTACTTTTACAGGAATGAATTTAATTTCTTTATTATTTAAAAAACAGTATTTTTAATGTTTATTTTTTTATTAATATAAGTAGAACTTGAAAATGCCAAACAATTTAATACTTTAGGTTTTTTTATCAAATCGTTCTTTTTTAAAATTAAATTACGATTTTTATTTATTTAAATCAATTTATATAATATTTTAAAAAATATTGGGGGAAAAAAAATCATTTTAAAATTATTAATTTAAACAACTTAAAATTATTACATTAATTATCACCGTTTTTTCTGTAAATTTTATGAATAAATTCGAGGTGATTTATCATGTATAAATTATCAATATTTAAAATATGCCCACTTATCAGAGTTGTTAAAGTATCTAGATACTGTATCTAGATATAAAAATGTGATATCTGTATCTAGATCCATTTAAAAAGTATCCTTTAACAACTCTGCCCACTTATTAGTGTTGTTAAACTGCTCATTTTGAGCCGATTTTTAAAAACGGCTGACTCGATATTTTAGCAAGAAAAAATATTGCCTAAACCTCGATATTTGGATAATATATGTCCCCTAGACCTTTGTTCCTTCTATGAACAAAATCTTCAGGCTAGCGTAATATTTCCCTGGATATATTGGGTTAGAAAGATTAGAGAAAGAAAGAAAGAAAGAAAGAAAGTATTAATTTTTTTAAAAAAATACATTATAAATTAAAAATTATTTAAATGTCAACAATTGATTATTTTAATTTAAGCAAAATACTTTATTTTTATTATGAATCTAAGAATTAAAAGTAGAAATTTTATATATATATATAAACTTGAATGGCTAATTTTTTTTCCATTTCAAAACATTAAATTATTAATTAATCAATCAGATATTTATAAATTGAAATAACTAAATTTATAGAGTGCTTTAAATTAACTAAAAATTATAATAATTAAAAATCGTGATTTTATTTAAAAAAAAATAATTGATTTTAATCATAATCCGATTTAAATCAATTTGATTAAATCATGCCATTTCTTTTATAAATTATTTTTACAAGAAGGAATATTCGATAAAAAATGTAGGAAGTAATAAAAGAGAAGAGAAGATTAGAGAACGAATATTTATTTTTAAACTATGAGTCATCATGTCAAGTCGATCATGACTCTCAGGGATCCCTGGAAATCTGTATAATCTTGTATACACACTGGCACGGAACTAAAGCAGTGTTCAAATTTTAGTATCTTATGTTTCTTGGAGATATTAAGGGTCAATCAAAGCATTAAAAATGCTTATCAATTAAGATACTACTAAAAATCACACTGGAATGCCAAAATTTGAACATTGCTTTGATTACTACCCATAATTTGTAAACAAAATTTCACCCGAACCCAAAGAGGGTCCCAAGAAAATCTTGTTACCCTGATCGGTTTCTGACATGAAATGACGCTTGTTAATGATTTCAAACTTTCCAATCCTTAAAGTATGGCAGGTAAATTTTCCCATCCGAATCTATGTACTTGGAAGGTTTGATGAGCATGTTAGGGGTAGGTGTAACGAAGCAGTCGGGTGAAGTGTTGGGATAATTTTCTGGAACCCACATACGAATGGGTATGTTGTAGGTTTTGCCTGTTGCATTTTAATTTTTGGGAAAGATTTTTAAAATAAAAAATAAAGTATATCAGGCCATTGGAAAAAGGTCTATGAATATAATACTGTTTCCATGGGTTAAAATAATATGATTCAACAAAATTCACCAGCACCAAAATACTCTTTAGCGTTAAATATTCTTCTATAGAAGCTGAGGTTTGGATACAACACTGTTCCTTTACAAATAATTCTGAAAGGAACTTTATTAGAAACGGAATGCCTCGAATAGAACTTCCCGAGAACGGGAGGTTAAATAAATCGATGACCGGAAATGACACGTTTTTGGAAATTTACAATCTCACTCGATTACAAGGACAAAGCTCTACCATAAGCTTGGCTTAAATGACTCGTAATCATATTTAGCCAAGAAGAGTGAATACGCGATATAAATAATATCTCTTTTCTTTAGCCGGAACTGGGACGGAGTCTGAAAAGAAAAATTATGTTGTTCAAATTTCCTTTTTTAAATGGCTCCTTTTTAAAAAAAATGTCATTTCATGATCTGCCTCCTAGAGCTATAACTGTAACCACGAATTTTTTATTTATAAAGGAATGGTGGGTGATAAGTTAAATTTAGCGAAATAGTTCCTTTTTTTTGAAGTAACGCTTGCACTATTAATTAGGGTTGTGCCGATACTTTTGCCGATATCAAAATGATACGGTTATAAATGTGCAAATTTCGTAATTGCCACAAAATAAGTAGTAAATTTTTTATTGCGTGGATAACCATCTGGGAATGTTAATAAAACTTTTAATATAATTTTATTAAACAAAAAAATATTTTAAAGAAAGAGAAAGCATCGGCAAAATGAAATGAGCCTATGTTGTGGATCGGTTTATAACAATATATTGCCGATCAGATCCAGAATAAACTCTTGATCAGCCAAATTCTGACACCTCCTTAAATTTAATGTTATATATCGATATTCCAAGATGTGTTATGCGTAAAAAAAATGGCTGCCAATATAGTGCCAATTCTAAGATATAATTATTTATAAACAGGTCATTTTAATTTTCTATTTATACTGGATCTGGACTAAACATAAAAAAAACTTGAAGTCTACCTGAAACAAAACCCATCTGGTTTAGACTTGTCTGAGCCCAACTAAATCAAATTCCATATAAAAGTTAATTTAGGATCTTGATATTCACTAAACCCAAAATCTAGTTGGGTTGAATCCCTGTAATATTATTCTTTATATTTGTATTCATATAAAAATACAAATTTGATTTTAAATTTAATTAAGGTCATCTCTACTCGCAAAATTTGTTGATGACAATGGGAAAACATGTTTTCTTTTATAAAATAAGTCAGCTGATTTGTCCAATCTTTCTATTGGTGGATAATGCAAATAAAAAGTCCTAATATATTCATAAAAAATCTTTTAGTTTGTAATTGCCAGGAAAATAACATTTATATACTGGGTACAATTTTCTTGCATTTAGTTAACCAATTATTTTAAGGTCTAATTCCTATTTTCAAAGTTCTTCTAGCATTTTAAAATTGCTGCCCTGGTACAGTTTGAGATGACTCCAAAAAAGCAAACAATAAATATCAGATCAAATTGTTTTTTTAAAAAACATGACCCTATCAAATATTCAATATTGGCAAGGGCCATTACATAGGTTTTCCTTTTAATACTTAATCTAGTCATTTACCAATTATTAATATTTTGATATATGTTTTATATTTAATTATTATCTAATTCACATTCTAATCTGCTCATTCATCATAAACATGATGAAGAGTGATCAAAATATACAATTCTAGTCAATTCCTTAAAAAAATTCACCCATAAGAACAGATTTGTAGATATGGCCTTCACCACAGCTCTATACATTATTTTATGCTAGTGTCATTGATTTTGTTTTTGTTTAATTTATTTAATGTTGTAAATTTTTGTTATATACCTAAAGATATACTTTAATTTATTTCCCTTTAAAATTCTATTAACATTAAAATTTTTGATACATATGTATAGTTTAAAAGGAGATTCAAAATGTAATATAAAATTTGTTTTAATGATTTAAAATAAAACATTATTAAATAAACAGGATTACTATAAAATATGCCTACAAGTTAAATTACTTTAGATAAACATTATTCTTAATATTAACAAAATTTTAAAAAAAGTTTCATAGATATATAATAACATTGAAAAGCTTTTTGTTCTTATACATTTTTTTTAATTAGGGATACCCATGTCAAGGAAATGATTTTTATATGTAAAATCATTTTTTTAATTTATATATTTTGAATTAAATCATAAAGGTAAACTTTTATATAGTTAAATCATTCCCATATCCCATGCAAATATCAAATGATCTTAGAATTTTTAATTTATTGATAATTTTTGATTTATTTTTACCCAAAACTCAAATTCCTAGCATTGCACGTCATATAATATTGAATTATTTAATTTTAACTTATAAATATATATCAAATTATCATAATTAATAAAAATGTAGATAAAACCTTTATATAAGATTGGAATAGTTCCATTTAGTTTGATTAATTCTCTTTTATTTCCATAAAAATTTTTAAAAACATATGTTCCAGTCATTGGTGAGAGATCTTTATAATTATTTTGTAATATCTGAAGATCCTTTTTAACTCTGTCAGGATGTTTATACTATATGAATGTAATTTTCGATGAAAACAAATAAAATTGAAATGTTTTACTTTTAAAGAATCTACTAAAGAATCAGTGTAAGTATGGTTTATCATCATCGGAAAAAAAATGATGACTTTAAAACTACGAGAAATTATTCAAAAAAATCAATTATGACATTTGTATCAATCATATGAATTTAGAGCAAAATGGCATTTAATCAAACATTGACAAAATATTGATGTATTTAAATAACAAATACATAATTATTTCATAAGTGCCATTAAGTTTCAAGCAATTAAGACATATATTATTAATTTTTATATAAGTATTTCATATAAATTAAAAATATACAAAAGGTAAGGAATAAAGCCAAGAAATCAAATTTCAAGATTAAAAATTGCCCTCAGTAAATGATTTAAAAGTTAAATATTCTGTATCCTTATTGTATTGTGAAACCCCATTAGATATATATACATATATAATTATTATAATTTTTTGCAGACATAATTTTAATATTTTAATTTGTTATCAAATGATTTCTAATGTCTTTATGACTTAGGGGTGATAAGTGCATTTCGTCATCTGCATACATACAAAGAGTAGTCTTCTAAGAGGAAAGATAGCAAAGAATATATTAGGTGTAAGAGGTATAATTTTAACATGCTGACTCATATTATTTTTCTCATATTAAGACGCTGGACCTAGTGTTGTCAAAAAGCTCGAATCGAGTAGATTTCAAAAAAAGGCCCAATTAACTAAAATAGCATCATATAAGCCGAAATATTTTGCTCATAGCTGGCAGAAATGCTTGGACATCTATTTTTCTAAATCTCGATACTTGCATATTTTTTTGTTTTTTCTCTTTAGCTTTCACCTTTACTGGTGGTAAGTTCCTTCAGCGTCTTCATGACCAGGGTTGCCAGGTCAAAATTTTCAAATTGTGGGAGAAATTTATTTTGTGGGAGTAATATAAAAATTGTGGGAGAAATATGAAAATTGCTAAAAAAAATTTGCGGCCTGCGGCCAGGATTTAGAATTGACTTAGTTATCCGCTATTTATTTTTTATAAATATAAAATCGAATCTATTTTCCAAAATAAAATAAGTAATTATTTTTCAAAATAAAATAGCCAACTATTTTTCAAAATAAAATATCCAACTCTTTTTCAAAATAAAATAGGTAACTATTTTCCAAAATAAAATACGCAACTATTTTTCAAAATAGGTAATTATAGTACGACACAAAATTTCTTAAATACTATCTTTATTATTAAAATAACATATTGATTTATTATAATATATTAATTTTGTTTAAAAATAATAATCAACGATCTTTTTTAAATACAAAAGAATGTAAACAAGATAAAATTTTATAAAAAAATTGTAATTTTACAATGTAAAAAAATATATTTTATGCTAATGTATAAATAAGATTTTATAAAAAAACAAACAATTTTAAATTTACAATGTAAAAAATAATTATAATCAGTGCGGGGAAGTTGTTCTACAGTATTTAGTTAATACAATGGGGGAAGGGAATATGATATTTTGAGGCATCAAAAATCTTCAAAGCATAAATCAGTACAAGGCAGTCTATCAACATCTATTGCAAAACAAAAATATTCTTCAAAAATAAGAAATAATACAGATGCAACTACAGTTGCGGAAATGGTAAATACCTATCATGCAGTACAACATTCAGAGAGCTACTTAACATCACAATGTTGGTAGAATCTTTCCCCATAATATTTAACGACTAATATAAATGAAAAGTATACTTTGTAGAACACAAATGAGCAAGGCTATCATCAATGTTTTAGGATATAAATCCAGAACAGAAAGTCAATTCTTGACGATTTGAAAGATGTGCAAACATATGCAATTCTAACAGATGCATCTAATAAGGAGTTATCAAAACATTTCCCTTGATCCTCCCCTATTTCAACAAAATTAATGTCATTTCAATAAAACTATTAAAAAAAATTTCTCCAGAAGCTAACCATATATAATGGTAAATATGGCAGTTTGGCATTACCAAAGAATTGCATGGCAGCTTTCTGATTTGATAATTTCTCAGTGAATTTGGCAAAAACCAGAGTGTATTTACAGAATTGAGTCAGCATAATGTTGGTTGACAGGTTCCTCTTAATACGCGCCATCGAGGAATTTTAAAATTTTACAAACCTTTAAAAAATAAATAGATTATAAAAGCTGTCCTAATATTTTAAAAAAATTTTCAAAAATAAATGGCTGAAGTATATTTAGGAATTTTACATATAGGAAATCTACTATATGCTGTTAATATGCAGTTGCAATCAGAAGAATATAATTTAATAAAGGTTCACTAAATTATGCTGCAGAAATACCAAAGTAAGAATATTATTACTATTATTGGATAAATAAGATTTAATATGATGTCATGTTTGAGGAGATTGTAATGCTTCTTTATTTTTATGATTTGCCAAAATATTTAAAATATTAATTTTACAATGTAAAAAATAAATTTATTTGATTTTATGCAAATGTATAAATAAGATTTTATAAAATATAGAAAGTCAAATAGTTATAGTTAATTATATATTATTTGAAATTTAAATAATGGAACTAAACGTTTACCGTCGTTATTAAGATATTTATAAAATTCCTGGCATGACATTTTATAATTTTGTTTAAGCATTAACTCGGCCTCTAATGTTGTTAAAGCAATTCGATTTCTCTCCTTTCTCCAGGCAGTCCTCATCAGGCTAAAAATGCGTTTCGATCAGTCATTAGAATGAGGTAAGGAGAAAACATACTCGCAAATTTTTTCCAAGCATGGGGATTTATCGTTATTACTAAAAAATTCCACCCATTTCTCCTCTGCTTTTAGACCATCTAACTTTAAGTATTCTGGCGAATCATAAAAAATGGAAAAAATTACAATCTCTTCAAACAAGGCTTCAATGTCTATCGGTAATTTTAATATATTTATTAAATTACAAAAACCATCAAATGATGGTTTCTGTTCCAAGGTCATAATATTTATACACTTGTAAATAGAGTTATTAAAATCAAATCTTGATTGTAAATATTCCAAAATTGTCTTAATAAAAATATTTGCTTCATTTAAAAATACGTTAATTATAGTAATATTTGAACATTTTAATATGATATTTTTAGCAATAGCGCCATAAAATTTATTATCTATTTTTAACCGTAGAGATGAACAATGCTCTAGCATGATTTTGTATCTTTATTAATAAAGAATCTTCTGATTGCAACTGAATATTAACATGAAGTAGATTTCATACATGTGAAACTAATCCCAAATATGCTTCTGACATTTCATCCTCGATATGGAATATAATGTCCACTTCTAAAAGTTCTATTCTTCTAACACAAAAATTTTGAAAATGTCGAGTGGAGCACTGCAATTCTAGATAACGCTATAAAATATATTAAGTAATTTAAAATATATTTATAATAATTACACATACTGTTCTAACTTCTATTCTTTCTAACACAAAAATTTTGAAAATGTCGAGTGGAGAATTAAATATTTAAGAGCGGAAAAATAAAATAAAAGAACTAGACATATTTTTCGAATAAATATTTAAAATTTATTTTAAAATTATAAAAATAATCAAATACTGTCTCTCAAAATTATTATTTATATATTAAAAACATTAAAATGCTAAAAAAAAATTGTGGGAGAAATTAAAAAATTGTGGGAGCTTTTTGTGGGAGATTTCTAATTGTGGGAGTTTTGTGGGAGTGAGATGTATGTGGGTAAACTAAAAAATTGTGGGAGACTCCCATTGGTGGGGGGAGACATGGCAACCCTGTTTATGACATGATTTTCACTGTGCAAACCCTCTTCAAAAACTTTTTCCTACCCCACTAAAAAATTTTCGCCACATTCGACGGCGATATTTCTTAATTATTATTTACACCTTTTTAATAATGATACTCATTTCCGTGAATTTATAAAGGATAAACTTAAAAATCTATCTCTACTACCAACTATCGATATTTTGTGAATATAAAGGATATATTTTTGGATAATAAATTCAATTAAATCCTCCATTATTTACAATGAATTATTATTATAACTTTATGAGCTTGCTGAAATATCTAAACCTTTTAAATGTAATTTAAAAGGATAGCAGAAAGTTTTATTTGGAAAACAATGTGTATGATTTTTTGCAATATATAGATTTGGTCGATGAATTGTATTATAATAGTTCTATAATAAAAGTATTAATATAAATTTTGTCCTATTTCATTCAAAATTCAATTTCTCCTACCCCCATTAAAGCCGCCATCCCACTACCCCCCTCAAAAAATAGGATGCAAACTGTTCCTACCCCTCCCGCTCATGTAGACGCTGATCTCTCTTCACTTTATGTTTCTCTTTTATCTAATTTATCTCCTTTATATTGGCTCTAACTTTATGGTCCATTGAAGTTTTGGCCTTCCTCTTATACGTTTGCCCATCACTTCCAAACTCTCAACGTTATTTCCTATGTATTTCATAGGCCTTCTCATCGTGTGCCCATACGACCTAAGTCTGTTTACCATTAACTTAATCTTAATTGGCACTACCTTTAAACTACTTAGTATTCTTGTACTGCGCACTTTATCCATTCTTGTTACCCCAGCAATCATCTTCAGCATTCTCATCTCCATAGTTTATAGACTTCTATCGTATGCTTCCTTGGTTGGCCATGTTTCCGAACTATAAAGAATAGTTGGTTGTACTATTAAACTGTAAATTTTTCCCTTTAATTTGTGTGGGATTCTTTTGTCAAATAGCACTCCAGCTAAAGATCTCCACTTTAACCACCCTTGATTAATTTTACTTTTTATCTCTTTTTCTTTTGTGCCGTTTGTTTTAGTGGAGCCCAAATATTTACAGCTTTCAATTGCCGATATATTCCATTCTTTTATATCAATACTCTCTGTTTCATCTCCTCACATCACCATATACTCCGTCTTTTCTCTATTTACTTTTAATCCGTGCGTTTCTAGGATATTTATCCAACTCACTAACCTTTTCATTTCATCCTTGGATTCGGCAAGTATCACAATATCATCTGCAAATATCATATTCTACGGGACTGTTTGAGGTATAGACTGTGCTAATACATCTATTACTGTAATGAAGAGAAGTGGGCTGAGAGCCGATT